CCACCATCATCATCTCCATCATCACCACCATCATCATCTCCATCATCACCACCATCATCATCTCCATCATCATCATCATCTCCTGTGGTCTCCAAATGTGTGCTGATTTGATCCATTACACCTTTCAGGACCTCCTCAAACCGTTTTCCACTTCGTTTAGCTATGTTCTTCAGCTCATCAATGTAGTCCATGGGAGGGCTGCTGCTACTCACTGAGGCTGCATACTCTGAAGCGAGAGAAGTAACACGAAATATCGCATCTACTGTGGTTCGGGAAGGGTAATTATATGGGAAAAGGGGTTGTAGTGCATTTAATGTAGAATCTTCTTCAAACTCGACAATCAGGTTTTTATAAAATGTACTTTGTGGATCACTGACATGGAAAACCTCTTTTACTACACCATAACATTGTAAACGATCAACTATCTCTTTTTCGTCCTCAGTGCTCTGAGTGCCAGTAACTAACACAGATCGTTGCATGTTTAACCCCAGCTGAGTAACAACATCCATTTTTGTTTTTGTTATTGATAATGATAACACACCCAAAATAAAGGCACTGTGGAATTATTCAATTATTCACCCACTACAAGACTCCTGGCTAGCTCGCCACATGTAACGCTCTTATTAAGTGTGCAGGTCTGACTGCAGGGCTTAGTGTTAACCACTTTATAAAATCAGAAATAGGTACNATTATTGCGGGGCACCAGAACTTCTGAGGACCCCATGACGTCTCTTTTCTCTTCCTTTGCTAAGAGGGCTAGTTAGCTCTGGTTAGCTTATGTTATTCTTTAGTTTTTTCTTCTGTTTTATTCCTAAGTTGCTTGTCACAACAATGATGTGTCAACTCCATAACTGACAATTTACAAAACTTTGATAAAATTTTGTGAAATAAAAGCTTAATTTTGGTAAACTGTAAAGATTTCATGGACCTGATGAGCTACAATATGGCCTCCTTCAGAATAACATCATACAAATTGATGTAGTTTGGCATTTCGTCAACTCCGTCAGATGTCAACTCCATCAGAGTTTTTCTGACTCTTTCAGTGAAATTGTTGTCAAATCTCACTTAAATGTGCAATTAATTTATTTTCATGTATTTTACATGAATTGCATTACTTCACATGTACCAAGTTTTTCATTTTATTCACTAGTTTGTCACCACCTTCAGTTCTGTGTCAACTCCGTCATGCACTGTCTACCCCGTCAGATGGACTTTTTGTTGTTTTTTGTTTTAAATAATATTTCTTTTGTTTCCTGAGAAGCATGTGTCTGTAAAATGAGTAAAAATATCACTAATGGGGTATTTTAAAAATCATTTTATATTTATTTTTATCAGATGTTGATGACAAAGTTCTGGGTCAGGTTGATTAAAAATGTAATTTTTAAAAAAAATTCGCAACTGGGAGCCTGTACCTTAGCATTGTCACATTTTCTATACATTATTTGTCATATTTGCATACATAAGGTTGGGAAATAAAAAAAATATGGGAAAATTAAAACCCATTTTGTGCCTATTCTCAAGAATCACTGAAACAATAAAAACACTAAAATTTTAATAAAAAACAATACAAGCACAACACTGTGAAATAAGGATCAAAATACATTAAATTAGTAAGATATTCTGCACAATAAAAGCTAAAATCTGTTCAAAAAGAAAAGCCCAGGATGAAGCACAGCTTTGACCTCTGACCCCTGAGGATGTTCGGTCAGCTTTGTTTTATCAGAGCAGAGAGACAGGAGTTCACAGTTTAGTGGTTTTATTTTGTTGTGACTTTTTGTCTAATTCAGTTTTAATTAGTTTTTGCTCATTTTTATTATTGCTGAGTTTTAGTTTGTAGTAGTTTTAGTTTTTTTCATACTTTGACCTTTTGAATTCTATACCTAAAAATTAACCAAAGTGTTGTTATTATGTTTACATTGATTGGGCAACAAATACTCAACAGAAGATATAATTACAAGTATATATTGATTTATTGATTGTTTTTTTTTCTCCAAACTTTTGCCGTTGTCATTTTGCCTTCACGAGGAGCGGAGTGCCGTAAATCACCGACAGTTGATGTAAACGGCTGTTGTGGGGAACAAAAAAATCTGTTTCACATCAGTTCAAAAGGCTAAGAAGCAGATTCATTAACACAAAAACAAAGGATGCTATATCTATGTTTCCAGTATGTTTTAGTTTTATAAACACACAATATATTTCCAGTTAGTTATAGTTTTTCTCCATCAATTAACATTTCTGTCAGTTAATGGAAAGTTAAGTTTTAGTTATAATGATCCTGAACTTCACCAGCAAAATCTTTATAATTTTCTGTCAACATTTTGCTTTTTTTTTTAGCTTCGTATTTCTGTAACTTTAGTTGGAGCATTTAGAAAAATGTCAGTGGTTTCTATAAGTTAAAATTTACACCGTTTGGCCAATCTGCAATTCTAAACAGAAACAAGTTTCCTCGTTTACTTTTAAAAGATTTCCCACAATGCTTTGAATTTTAGGCGCAGGATGTAAACATGAAAACACCAAACAGTAACAAAAAAACAAAATTCATTAATAACTGTGAGGAAAAATATGATTTTCTTTTATTTAGCACATAAAATCATACGCGATTTTATCTGCTAAATATAATACAGCAGTAGCTTCTGTGTGATCTGGAGAACAAAGAAGATAAAAAGCGGGAAATGTGTAACTCTGAATCAATGGTGCTGACCAGGCCAAGGTCCAGGGGCTAACACAAAGCAATGAGTTTTTAAAAAAATTCTTTGAACCTGTTCATTTCTACGCATGTTTGAGGATTTGCTGGTTGGAGTCCTTCAGGGTTTAATAATCAGCCCCCTGATTTTTATTTATTATGTCTGGAGAGAATCTGTATGGCTGTGCTGATGATGTACAGCTGTTTCTAATACCAACCAGATAAACCAACCAGCTAACCAACCAGCTAAACCAACCAGCAAAATGAACCAGCTAAACCAACCAGTAAAACAAACCAGCTAAAACAACCATCTAAACCAATTGCTAACTAACCAGCTAAACTAACCAGCTAAACCAACCATTAAAACAAACCAGCTAAACCAACCAGCTAAACCAATTGCTAACCAACCAGCTTAACCAACCAACTAAACCAACCAGTAAAACAAACAAGTTAAATCAACCAGCTAACCAATCAGCTAACCAATCAGCTAAACCAACCATTAAAACCAACCAGCTAAACCAACCAGTAAAACCAACCAGCTAACCCAACCAGTCAGACCAACCAGCAGGGATTCCAGTCAGATGTTTAGATGTGTTTTCACTTCATTCATTGAATATATGAGGATAAATTTATACAAAAATTTAACCAGAATGAGACAAAGAAAAAATACAGATTCAGTTATTGTTGGTTTTCTTAATACAAAAACAAAATGAGATCAGACAATCAAAACGTAGAGNGACTCTTAACCTTTACCTGCTCCTCTAACCTGAACCTGAGAGAAATTTCCACTAAGACTCTGACCAAATGCTCTGGTCAGGCTATCCATAGAATATTATCCTGTTTAATGGATACCCCTATATATTTTAGGTCAGTATTAAAAATTGGCATTAAAATATATCTGAAGCCTCAGTTGTGCAGGAACTTGTGAATTCCTGTCAGGCTGAATGTGTAAACTCAAGCATTTAAAAAAAATCACAATATGTTTAAATTATTTCATGTGACATATTGTAATGAATCTACATTAAGAACTACATGTTCGACATCATGTTAACCATAGTGGTCACTACAGAGAACAGCTATCTAAAAGCCATTTTCTTGTGCTTCTTGTGGATTTTTATGTTATAAATGCACACAGACCACTGAAGTGGACAATAATGCATCATAAAATACACTACCAACTACTGGCCATCAGCTGCAAATGCAAGAAATTATTTTTGTTAAATCAAATATGGGCGACAGACAAAACAACAGCCGACCGACCCAGACCCTCCTTCTAACTCTTGCAGGTAAAAAAAAATATTGTGACATGACATCAGATGACTGCTAAAGAACAATACTACTGATGGATTATTCAAATATCAACTTTGTATTTGGAGAAAATTACAATTAATCACCTAAAAAATAAAAAAAACAATGTTGTCCTACCTTTTTATGCCTTAACAACAAACAATGGAAAAAATCTTGACACAAAGCATCATAATTCATGCATGAAAGGGTTAATAAAAAACTAGTTACAGAGTATAATGACTTTGTATGACAGTTTAACTACATGCTGCTACTGTGACAGGTGCTAACAAAGGAACCACTTTATATAATTGATCACACAAAGTATTGACATGTTGACTGAGGACAGTTTTAAACTTGATTTTACAACCTGAGTTGAAGCAGAAGATATAACTGTCCAAGAGTTTGGTGACCTTAGTGAGTTTTAGCAATGTGTTCGCCAACAAGCTGTTTGCTGGAAACCTGGCAGTAGATGCTTCAGTGAAGGATAATCTGTCTCAGGTTGTCAAGTTGAGTTTAATGAATGTTTTCACATACTGGTAGCTCTTCCATGTTTTAACCTTGTTTTAACCATGTTTTAATCGACCAAATTTAAAGGAATCCTACAAATCTTCAGCTCACTTTGCTCTTTACTTTGTCATGAAAACATTTGGACTGAAACTGACAGAGCAGCCAGAAATAAAAACTGTCTGACGTACAGAAAACTGGAGAGCCGTGGATCAGATGTAAGGGGCGGTCCAGCCAGCCTGGAAGAGACCCATGTCCTGTGGTTGGACAGATCGGTGTCCGTCCTATGATTGGACAGATCGGTGTCCATCCTGTGATTGGACAGATCGGTGTACGTCCTGTGATTGGTGGCTTCCTGTCCAGCAGGAAGTTGTGAACAGAGTTTAAAAGCTGCTGCAGGACTGCAGACATTCACAGGAATCTGGACCAGCAATGGCTCTGCTGAAGGTTCTGCTGCTGCTGGGGCTGGGTGAGTTGGACACACTGGAGACACTGGAGACACTTCCACTGGTTCCAGGGAGGCTGCTCCTCTCTGTGACTCTCAAACTTCCCTCTGACTCTGTTTCAGACCGAAACTGTGATGCTTTTTAATCTTTAACTGTTTATCCTTTTTCTGTTCCAGCCACCATGTTTGTACCTGGTTTCTGAATAAAATCCTTCTTTTTCTTCTTCAGGTGTTTCAGTGAACTCAGATGTTTCTCTGCAGAAGAGAATCATTGGAGGTCATGACTGTAACAACAACGAGCGTCTTTATCATGTAAGAATCACTGCTAATGGTCATTTTGTGTGTGGAGGATCTCTGATCCACCCTGAGTGGATCCTGACTGCAGCTCACTGCTGGCTGCAAGGACGGTGAGAAAGAAACAAGACAGTTTTATCTGCAGATGATCAGGTTTTCTGTGTGTTCATTAAAATCTAACCTGTTCCGCAGGACTATGGCAGCAATGCTCAGAGTTCATCCACGGGGTCAAAGGAATCCTCAGCAGGACGATCAGATAATCCAACCCAACCAAAACTACCGGGTGGTTTATACTGACAACGGCCAGCAGCATGACATCATGCTGATGAGGCTTCAGAGACCAGTAACAAATGTCAATCCTGTCCCGCTGCCAGACTGCAGAAATCGTCCTCAAAAGTAAGTCTATCTCTGATCAAAAACATGACTTCAGGTTTTCTGTCTCCACTCCTCCAGTCCTGCTGCTTCTGCTTCAGCACACCTGAGTCAGGTAATCAGGCCACCAGCAGAACCAGAACCCGTTCAGCTCAGGTGTGTTGGACCAGAGACACATGTAATGGACACAGGACACTGAGGACTGGAGGAGGATGAAGTCCTTCTTGGATTTATTTTCTGTTCTTTCTTTGTTCTTCATAATTAATTTTCTATATCTTGTATTTTTACATTTTATTCTTATTGTGTTTTAGAGGTGATTCTGTTGAGCTGGCAGGAGAGGGAGCAATGACAACCGGCTCATTTTATGGAACATTGAAAACCTTCATTTCTGGAAAAATGAAATCCTCCCCCATGTATGAGAGAGGTGAGAGAAATGTTGAAGTTATGAGAATAAAATCTTTGTTTCTGTCTCTACAGAGAAGGTGGAGAAAAGGACATGTTTATGATTCTCATGTTTCTCTACAGTGACCAATGCTCCTATTCCACCACATCTTCAGTGTGTCGACATGACAGTTGATGACTGTTCATCTTGTCTCCAGAATTATGAAGGGCACAATCGTAGATTCTGTGTTCAAGAGGCGGGCAAGGATTCTTCTCCTGTAAGTTGGTGTCTTTAATTTCTCTGAACATTGAATAGAAGCTTTCTCAGTTTTACAATATAAATATTTATTTTCCCACAGGGCGACTCTGGTGGAGGAGTGACCTTCAAAGGGAAGATTTATGGTGTGATTGCTGGAAGTAACAACCATTATGCATGTGCCATATCAGCTTTCATTATGGATGTGTGTGAATACATAGATTGGATACGTCAAACAACTGGGCTTGTTAAAACATAAACTATCATGAAATAAAATTCTCATCAAATTTCCTCTGATATAATTTTATATTTGTATCTTCATCCGTTTGTTCCAGGTTTGTAGAATTAGGATGGATTAGTAGTTTTGTTTTTTCTCACCTGACCTTGACCTCCCTGTGAGAACCAATAATGGAGCTTTTCTTTGTCTCAGAAATGGAAAATAAATCAATAAATGCATGAAAAAGAAACATTTCCTGGTTGATTGTCTTTACATTCTTGGTTCATTTTGTCCAGTTGATATTTTCCCTGAAATTAATCTAGTTTTAGATGAGTCATGAGTTTTAGATCACATAAAGTTGAACACCAGAAGTAATTTATTCATTTTTTGTCTTTATTTTACATCAGAAATGAACATGCAGCATCTAAACTCTGAAATTACTATTCCTGATTTAGTTCTAGAGAAATTTAAACTATGTTCTCTAGAACTATGTCTGTTCGAAATTAAATAAATAAATAAGACAAAAGAGCTGTAAACAAAAATAATGAAACAGAATTCACATAATACAATTAACACATAATAAAATCCAAATAACTTAAAAATACTAAAAAATAGTAAAGATACAAGTTCAATAATTAAAAAAAGTTTTAAAGTCAAAATTTGGAATGAAAGACGTTTTAAGAAAATATGTAAAAACAGGTAAAGCTAATTAATGGCAACTTCTGGTTGCCACAAATTTAATATACAAAATTATTGTAGAAACTTTTCTTCTATTGCAGTTAATCAAAGTGTCATTGGCTTTGGATGTTTCATCTTGGATCTTGGATGTTTCATCCTGGACAGTGGCTCTCACACTCACTAGTCCTCTGCCTCCTTCCTTACGGCTCGTGTACAGTCTCAGGGTGCTGGATTTGGGGTGGAACCCTCCATGCATGGTTAGTAGCTTCCGAGTCTTAACCCATTCTTAAGTCGGTATCCGTAGCCAGTCTTGTTGATGATTTGGCTGAGGGGGTTCAGGCCTATGCAGAACAGCAGTGGGGACAGAGCATCTCCTTGGTATATGCCACATTTGATGGACACTTGTGCAAGTGGTTTGCGGTTGGCTTCAAGGGTGGTTTTCCACAGCCCCATCGAGTATGGCATGTTATGCATATCAATGTCTCTCATGGTATGAGGTAGGCTATATAGCTCCAAGGGTCTTGCCTAAGGACCCACACTGCATAGCTCAATTGCACTGTTGTACTCGCCCCAGCCCGGATTCGAACCCCGGTCTCCCGGGTGGTAGACTGGTGTCTACCCACTGTGCTATACAGTCAGCTAATATATATATATATATATATATATATATATATATAATTCAGTATTAATCATTTATTTGTGCCCTTATTAATCTTTTGTTTATTAGTGTTTGTATAGTTATATAAAATATGTATTGATATTACTAAATAATTTATTAAATTATGAACGGCTGTGTGCTTTGTAATATGCTCTTCATACATCGATATCAGAATATTCCTATTCTATTGTTATAGCCACTAAGCATATTTAAATATGATGAACAAAACCTACTTAAAAAATACAATTGTTTATAAATGTTGCTTTGATAGATGTTTGAATATGGTTTCCAGTAACAAAAGTGTGTTATGATCGATTAAATCCGCTGATACGTCATTGTGCCTGCTAAACACATAACGCTGAGTGGAGTGGAGTACCGCTCCAAGATGGCCGCCCTAAATCTCGTCAGTGACAATAGGCGAGAGCGGTCCATGAGGCGTCTATCCTTATATTATGTCTATGGTCGTCTTTTCTCTTCCTTTGCTAAAAGGGCTAGTTAGCTCTGGTTAGCTTATGTTATTCTTTAGTTTTTTCTTCTGTTTTATTCCTAAGTTGCTTGTCACATCCATGGTGTGTCAACTCCATAACTGACAGTTTACAAAACTTTGATGAAATTTTGTGAAATAAATGCTTAATTTTGGTATAATGTAAAGATTTCATGGACCTGACGAGCTACAATATGACCTCCTTCAGAATAACATCATATAAATTGAGGTAGTTTGGCATTTCGTCAACTCCGTCAGATGTCAACTCCATCAGTTTTTCTGACTCTTTCAGTGAAATTGTTGTCAAATCTCACTTAAATGTGCAATTAATTCATTCTAATTAATGTATTTTACATAAATTGCATTACTTCACATGTATTAAGTTTTTCATTTTACTCGCTAGTTTGTCACCACCTTCAGTTCTGTGTCAATTCCGTCATTCACTGTCAACTCCGTCAGATGGCCTTTTTGTTGTTTTTGGTTTTAAATAATATTTATTTTGTTTCTTAAGAAGCATTTGTCTGTAAAATGAGTAAAAATATCACTAATGGGGTATTTTAAAAATCATTTTAGATTTATTTTCGTCAGATGTTGATGACAAAGTTCTGGGTCAGGTTGATTAAAAATGTAATTTTTAAAAAAAATTCGCAACTGGGAGCCTGTACCTTAGCATTGTCACATTTTCTATACATTATTTGTCATATTTGCATACATAAGGTTGGGAAATAAAAAAAATATGGGAAAATTAAAACCCATTTTGTGCCTATTCTCAAGAATCACTGAAACAATAAAAACACTAAAATTTTAATAAAAAACAATACAAGCACAACACTGTGAAATAAGGATCAAAATACATTAAATTAGTAAGATATTCTGCACAATAAAAGCTAAAATCTGTTCAAAAAGAAAAGCCCAGGATGAAGCACAGCTTTGACCTCTGACCCCTGAGGATGTTCGGTCAGCTTTGTTTTATCAGAGCAGAGAGACAGGAGTTCACAGTTTAGTGGTTTTATTTTGTTGTGACTTTTTGTCTAATTCAGTTTTAATTAGTTTTTGCTCATTTTTATTATTGCTGAGTTTTAGTTTGTAGTAGTTTTAGTTTTTTTCATACTTTGACCTTTTGAATTCTATACCTAAAAATTAACCAAAGTGTTGTTATTATGTTTACATTGATTGGGCAACAAATACTCAACAGAAGATATAATTACAAGTATATATTGATTTATTGATTGTTTTTTTTTTCTCCAAACTTTTGCCGTTGTCATTTTGCCTTCACGAGGAGCGGAGTGCCGTAAATCACCGACAGTTGATGTAAACGGCTGTTGTGGGGAACAAAAAAATCTGTTTCACATCAGTTCAAAAGGCTAAGAAGCAGATTCATTAACACAAAAACAAAGGATGCTATATCTATGTTTCCAGTATGTTTTAGTTTTATAAACACACAATATATTTCCAGTTAGTTATAGTTTTTCTCCATCAATTAACATTTCTGTCAGTTAATGGAAAGTTAAGTTTTAGTTATAATGATCCTGAACTTCACCAGCAAAATCTTTATAATTTTCTGTCAACATTTTGCTTTTTTTTTTAGCTTCGTATTTCTGTAACTTTAGTTGGAGCATTTAGAAAAATGTCAGTGGTTTCTATAAGTTAAAATTTACACCGTTTGGCCAATCTGCAATTCTAAACAGAAACAAGTTTCCTCGTTTACTTTTAAAAGATTTCCCACAATGCTTTGAATTTTAGGCGCAGGATGTAAACATGAAAACACCAAACAGTAACAAAAAAACAAAATTCATTAATAACTGTGAGGAAAAATATGATTTTCTTTTATTTAGCACATAAAATCATACGCGATTTTATCTGCTAAATATAATACAGCAGTAGCTTCTGTGTGATCTGGAGAACAAAGAAGATAAAAAGCGGGAAATGTGTAACTCTGAATCAATGGTGCTGACCAGGCCAAGGTCCAGGGGCTAACACAAAGCAATGAGTTTTTAAAAAAATTCTTTGAACCTGTTCATTTCTACGCATGTTTGAGGATTTGCTGGTTGGAGTCCTTCAGGGTTTAATAATCAGCCCCCTGATTTTTATTTATTATGTCTGGAGAGAATCTGTATGGCTGTGCTGATGATGTACAGCTGTTTCTAATACCAACCAGATAAACCAACCAGCTAACCAACCAGCTAAACCAACCAGCAAAATGAACCAGCTAAACCAACCAGTAAAACAAACCAGCTAAAACAACCATCTAAACCAATTGCTAACTAACCAGCTAAACTAACCAGCTAAACCAACCATTAAAACAAACCAGCTAAACCAACCAGCTAAACCAATTGCTAACCAACCAGATTAACCAACCAACTAAACCAACCAGTAAAACAAACAAGCTAAACCAACCAGCTAACCAACCAACTAACCAAACAGCTAAACCAACCATTAAAACCAACCAGCTAAACCAACCAGTAAAACCAACCAGCTAACCCAACCAGTCAGACCAACCAGCAGGGATTCCAGTCAGATGTTTAGATGTGTTTTCACTTCATTCATTGAATATATGAGGATAAATTTATACAAAAATTTAACCAGAATGAGACAAAGAAAAAATACAGATTCAGTTATTGTTGGTTTTCTTAATACAAAAACAAAATGAGATCAGACAATCAAAACGTAGAGACATGGTTTACAGTCAGATCTTATGTAAGACAAAAACATCTTAAAAACAAATTCTTGTTTATTATGAAAAACTTTTAGCTATATCACCCGGGTGTAACTTTTATCTTGTCTTTAAATCAACATTTCACGGTCAGGACTTTTGCAAGTCACCAGCCCTGTTCCCTCAAAGCTGATAAGACCATCTGCCATGACTTTGAGGAAAACAGAAAGGCAGATTCATGGCTGCTTGGTCACAGCTGCAAAAGTTCACCGTTAGCTCCCGCTTCCTAGGCCTTAGCCTCAGAGGTCCTAAAAACACATTTCAGTTAAATATTGTCTGAATTAATAACTGAGGTCATGAAATTTGGTTTATTATTCAATGTTTTTTGACTCAGAGAGACAGAATAAAATTCATGCCACACTTTTCAGGTTTTTGTCCATGTTCCTCCTATCCTAAAATGAGGATAAACTTCTAAAATCCCTAAAACATTAAAGCAGAGAATAGACACTTCAGACCAACCTCCACAGTTTTTAACTGAAAAGCAAGAACATTTTGTCTAATAATTAAAGGAAGCATGTTAAAAAATTCTGATCCAAAGATAACAAAGCTTAAAGTTTTCTGTCGGGTCAGCTGGTCTAAGGGTTCAGTTTTAATAGACTTTGTGTTTTTATTTATTGCAATAAAGAGGAAAGAGGAAAATGTTGCATGTTGGAGAAGTTCTGTTGGTTCTGATTTTTTGCTTTCTAGATTTTCTGGTTGAATCATTTCTGTTTTCCC